GCTTCTCCCCTTATGGACCCTCGCTTTGTCGTTCCACTTTCTCCACCCGTTCCAAGCGCTGTCTCTCACTCTCCTAGCCCTACGGCTGCCGCTCTCTCACTTCCTCGCACCTTGGAGTTTGTCCTTGACAGTGCTGCTACTGATTCTGTCTTTCGCGATGCTGGTGTCCTTCGCCATTTTCCTCGTCCCCTCTCTATTCATGGGGCTGGGGAGACCATGACCATGATCTGTACTGGCACTTCATCTCTTCCTTGTCCTGCCTCTCCCTCTGGCGCTGTCACTGGCCTTTACGTTCCCTCTTGCCGTCATAACCTCCTCTCTCTCCCTACCCTCCAACGCCTAGGTGTGCGGGCACTCTTTCCCGCCGGTGAACTCGTTTGTGATCTTCATTACCGCGACCGGCACCTTGCTCGTTTCACCCTTTCTCCTGTCACTCACCTCTACACCCTTCGTGTTCCCCTCCCCTCATCCGTCCATCACACCTCTTCTTCCTCTGCCCCTCCCGTCTCCACTTGCGACTGTCGCTCTCTCACCCAACCTACCCTTCTTCTTCATCATCGTCTTGGCCACCCCAACTTCCCTCTCCTTCGCAGCATGGTCACTTCGAAGCTGCTTCATGATCTCCCTCCCTCTCTCCCGCCCCTTCCCCCCTCTCCCGCTCCTCCATGCACCCCTTGTGTCCAAGCCAAGCTCTCTCAATCTCCTCATCCTTCTTCCCCTTCTGCCTCCCCCAAACCACTTGATCTTGTGCATATGGACCTCTGGGGTCCATCTCCCATTGCCTCCCGCCAAGGTCATCGTTACTTTCTCCTTCTTGTCGATGACCACTCTCGCTTTGCCTCTGTTTATCCCCTCCGTGCCAAATCTGACGCCCCCTCTCTCATCATTCGCTGGGCTGAGCAGGCGCGCCTTCGCTTTGGTCGTCCTGTCGCCCGCTTCCACTCTGATGGTGGTGGCGAGTTCTTTAACCACTCTCTCCTTTCTTACTGCTCCTCTCATGGCATTCGCCAGACCTCCACCCTCCCGCATTCTCCTGAACAGAATGGTGTTGCCGAGCGTCGTATTCGCACTCTCATGGAGATCACCCGTTGTCTCCTTACTCATGCTTCTGCTCCACACTCCCTTTGGAGCTACGCTCTTGTTCATGCCACTCTTCTTTCCAACCTTCGCCCCCATCCTCTTCGCCCTTCCATTACTCCCTTCCAGCTCTGGACTGGCCGCCAGCCCTCCGCCCGCCCTCTTCGGGTGTGGGGCTGTGTCGCTCATGTCCTTATCAATCCCGCCGATCGAGCACGTCAGGGTGGGAAGCTCGCTCCCAAGACGCAGCTCTGTGCGTTCATTGGTATCAATGCTGACTGTCCTGGCTATCTTTTCTATGCTCCCTCCTCTCAGCAGCTCATTCGCAGCCAGGACGTTATCTTTGATGAGACTCGTTCTCCATTCCTCGCCCCCCCTCCCACCCCTCCTCCTCCCTCTCTTCATTGGTCTGACTTTGACCCGCTACCCTCCGCTGCTCCCTCTCCTTCTCCACTTCCTCCTCCCCCTGCTCCGCCTCCCCTCCCTGCCCTCTCCACTCCCCCCTCTGCTGTCATCTCCGGCTCCTCTCCTCCTCCCTCTTCCTCTTCTGCTCCCCTGCCCTCTCCTTCCCCACCTCCTTCTGCTCCTCTTCCTTCTCCTCCTGCTCCTCCACCTTCACCGCGTCTCACCCGCTCCATGACCCGTGCTATGTCCAATTTTCAACACTCTGCTCTCTTTACTCGTCTCTCTCCCTCTCCAAACGTCGATCTTCTCGAGGATCGCTTTGAGGAGCTGTTCTCCATTCATCCTGTTTCACCCCTCCTCTGTGTCACCATTGGCGATTTCTCCAATTCTCCCACTCTTCTCTCCGTTGACACTGCCGCTATTCCCACCCCTCAGACCTACTCCGAGGCCGTGTCTGGCTTTCATGCAACTGAGTGGATGGCTGCCATCATTGCCGAGTGTGAGGCATTCACCCGAACTCAATCTTACGTTGACTCTGTCCCCCCCCTTGGCGCCACCATTGTCAAGGGCAAATGGGTCTTTCGTGTCAAGCAGCTGCCTGGGTTTCATTTCATTTCAACTGTTGTTAGCTGCGCCATTAATCTGCTTTGGTTTACACTGTCTGTTGCTTGATACAGGCTCTTCAGGTGGCTGTACGCGAGCTCAGCGGAGTTGCCGTAACCCCGGTAAGAGCGTATGTTCTGCTGCTGAGTCGGTGTGACGTTTCTCAGTAGGATCGTATACGCCATCATCGATTGATACGTATACTGCTGTTTCTCATACTGTGTGCCGTTTGCTGGGTATTGCAGGGACCCGTCGAAGAAGCCAAGTATCTGCGCGCCCTCCATCATCAACTCGAACTCGAACGACCAGGTGAAGAAATCCTTTCCGTCGAAAGGTCTTGATGTCTGCAGCTTCAGGACATGCGCGAACTGTGATTGCACTTGTAACGCGTCCAGTGGTTTGTCTTGACCAGGTGAAGGCTGCGGCATGAAGCTGATCGACCCGCGCTCGTACGGGGCGAAGGTGGGTTGCTGCTGTTGGTTTCCGCGCGCATATGACGACCCGTCAAGACTCATGGGTGTTGCTCCGTTGTTGTTGCTGTTGTGTGACTGTGCAGGTCCCGATTGCTGGTGCTGCTCGTAGAAGGACATGAAGGAGAAGAATTTCTCCATCATGCTTTGGTTGAAGTCCGCGGGGTGATTTGCGGGAGTCTCAGTAGATGTCACCCTTGGTCTTGTTGCCGTGCCCTCCTCTGTCTGCAGGCCAGAGGCAGGAGGTGGAGTAGGGGTAGTGCCCGGGGAGCCGTTAGAGGAGCTCCTTTCCTTGTTTGTTGCCATGTCTTGTAATGACTTGAAGGTAGTGGAGTTTCCCTTGTTTGCTCTGATACCATGTTGGGCTGAGATAGCCCTTTAGGATATTTTCAAGGGAGAACTCTGGGTAGGATAGTGTTGTAATAGCGGAAGCGTTTAATGAAGAATTATGAACCACCTTGCGCTGGTATGTGAGGGCAAAGTAGATTGATTATATTGAAGAAGTACAAGATTATATAGTAATACAAAGAATATGAAAGGATGCTGTTATAACTACTTTTACTGTTGCTGTTGCTTCTCGATACAGTACGACTCGGGCAACTGCTCTGTAATGAGTCAGTTGTGTGTCCTTAACTGTCGCGCTGTATTTGTCAGGTCAAAGGTCGCTTGACCTTTGACTTTCGCGTAACCTCCAGCAACCTCTCAACCTCCGAGGGTTGACTCGCGCTTGCTTCGGTACTGCTTGCTTCGCTTCTGGTGCGATGTTTCGACACGACTGAAGCGCTTAAGATTCACTGTTTCCAACAGAAGCATGCTGTTCGCTTTCATTACGCTCGTTTCTGGGAAAATGTGGAGGAGCATTAGGATTGTGGCAGGCAAATGGGATGGGATCTGTTTCCATTATTGAAGGAGGTGTTTATAGCAGAAGATTCTCAAGAATGGTAGCTTTTCCCATATTGAAATCCTTAGGATTGCAATCCAAGAGTATTGGATATGCATACACTTGTTTTTGTTTTTTTGTTTTTTTTTTTTTTTTGGGTGCAAAACACTATACAATGTATACACCCACAGTCGTAACTGTAAAAGGAGGAGAGCATAGGTGTACCTACAGAGGCCCACCGTGACCCTCCTGTGCCACCCTACGGTGGCTTGAAAAAGGTGCTAGGTCTCGCCCAGATAGACTTGAACTCCTCGCTCCACGTCAGCAGCTCCTCGTTCACACACAACTTCTCCAACGCCGCCTCCTCCCCTGCTGCCAAGTGTCGCCATTTTCTTGCTCCCTTATCCCCTTGCTGGTTTCCCTCACCCCGTTTCCCTTCACTGTATATCCGAACGTGTCTCATGAAATTCGTCCCAATCTTCCTTACCACCCGCTTAGGCTCAAAAGACGTTTTCCGGAAGACTGCATCGCACCGCTCCAGCCAAATGTGTCTGAATGCAACCGCAATAAGAGCGGTTTCCGGAAATCCGGATGCTGTGCTGTCTTCAGCGAATAGTAGCTCCCCCAGTGTTCCCACAGGCCTCCTCGGATTAATCAGACGAAGCGAATCCTGAAGCGCGCCACAGACCCCACTGACTATCGGACAGCTCATCAAGCAGTGTTCTGGTGTCTCCTCTTGCCCACAGTGAGGGCAGCATGCACGTGGTCCAAGAAAGGCCACTCTGCTTCCCACTTGCAGGTTATTACTGTGCAGCCTTAGCAGAAATTCCCTTGCCTTGGCAGGGACCGCTAACGAGTCCCTCTTCGCAATGACTTTCCCCCAATCGATCTTCTTCCCCCACATCTCCTCCCACTGCCTCTGTTGCTTTGGCTGTGTAACCGGCTTCCTGAGTAGGTGTCTCAATCTCTTTTGCGCTGTCGGCTTTCCCCCCTCACACAGGAACGAGGCCCGTAGTCGCGCCAGTGGATCTCCCGTCTGACCTATTACCTGACCATCCTTGACTGGCATCGGAGTTAGAATGCTTAGTAGTAATGGCGGCTGAGCAGTCCTCCCCAAACTCTTAACCGTCCCCTTCTCATTCACTGCTAATGATTCACAGCTCAATTCCTTCGACTCCGTCAGCGCCACCTGGAGGAAGTGATGCCTCCCCGTCGCCGCACTGCCCACTCTAACCAGTGTAGTAGTCTCTGTAATTTCCTCTGCTGAGATTTTCGCCAGGAGTTTCTCCTTCCAGCTCTCTGGTACAGCTCCCCAGGCCATAAGCGCCCATCTCGCCGTTGGCGACCTCCCTGTTTGTTTCGTCAGCGTCCACATATCCTTTACTCTCCAACCACCCCCATACTCTTCTTGCAGCAGGTCCCCCACAGTCATCCCCCGCAGGCAGTCTGACCCTTTCTGTCTTCCAAAGGGGTTGTTTCCCTGATAATGAATCCATCGACTGAACCATAACTGCTCCTTTGCCATTTCCCATCTGTTCTCCGGCTCTGGCAGCTCAGGCAGTTGCTTATCCCACACAAGTGGTGTAAGTGATTTCCACCTTGTGCTCCCGCATGTCCATTCCGCCAGTATTGCCTTGTGCGCCAACAGAGTCGCCCATCCCAGGGGCATACTCGCCGCTTCCTCTTGTAGCCATTGTTTCATCGGGTTCTCTTCCAACAGCGCCGCTCCCAGATTCCACAGTGCTTGACTATTTACCCTCTCTTTTGGGCTGATGACTCCCAAACCCCCCTCCTTCCTTCCCATTTGTGCCAGCAGATCGCTCCAGAGAATGAAGTGTTTCTCTTCGTCCGCGCAGCCTTTCGATACGAAATTACGACACAGCTTCAAGATTCTTTTCCAGATCAGCTTCGGCGGCTGGTACACTTGCGCCTGGAAAAACACCACCGTCATCACGTACGCATTCAGGATTGTCACTCGCGCCGTCGTCGTCAGATGGAGCTTCTCCCAATTTGTGAGAATCGTGTTGACCCGCACCAGAGTCTTTTCCCATGTGGGTTCCGCTCTCCCGTCTGACGTGATCCACACACCCAGTAACCTCTCCGGCTTCCCCCTTTCAGCCCAGTTGTAGTCTGTGTTCGCAGGTGGGGGATTGGGTCTGTTCTTCCCCAGCGGCATCACCGTCGATTTCCCTTGATTTACCTGCAGCCCCGACCGGACACTGAAGTCTTCCAGGAGGCATTTCGCCCTGCTCAGCTGTTCCTTCCCTTTAAGCAGAAGAGTTGTGTCGTCTGCATAGCCCAGGTATGTTAGACCACCTCTCCCTCTTTTCCGGAGACCCAGTTTCCTCCTTTTCGCCTCCTGGCTCAATGGTTCTACTGCGCAGATAAACAGGTAAGGTGCGAGCGGACAGCCCTGGCGCACGCCCGATTCCACTTCCACTCGCTCTCCTAGCCATCCGTTGACCAACAGCTGAGTCGCCGCCTGGTCATGTAGCCCCCGGGTCCACTTGACAAACTCCGCCGGGAAACCCATTCGTTCCAAGGTGCGGAAGAGGAAAGGCCTCGACACCGAGTCATAGGCCTTCTGAAAGTCTACCAGCAGTAAGTACCAGTCCTCCTTCCCTGTTATCGCTGCATCAATTGTGTCTGCTACCACTTTAACTGCATCAGCTAGCCTCCTGCCCCGAACAAAACCGAATTGGTTTCCTGAGATGACTTGCGACAACACCTTCTTCATCCTGTTCGCCAGCAGTTTTGCCACGATCTTGTATATTGCACTCAACAGGGTGATCGGCCTGTAATTCCCCATGTTTGTCCGATCCCCTTTTTTATGTAGCAGAATCGTCACCGCTGTTGAGGTGCTTCTCGGTAGTGTCGCTGACTTCTCAAACTCCCGCATGAAGTCCATTACCGACTCCCCTAGCAGGTCCCAGTTATCCTCAAACAGTTCCTTCGGCAGCCCATCTGCCCCCGGTGCCTTTCCCCTTGGGAGCTCTTTCATCGCTTGCTTGACTTCTGCTTCCGACCATGGCGCCGAGAGCCTCTGCCTCGCTTCTTCATCCAATGTTTTCGAGGAGTCCATCTGCCACTCATCTACTCCGGCAGCATGTCCTTTGTCTCCAAAAAGTTTGGCAAAGAAGGCCGATGCTGCTGTTAAGACTTCTCTTTCCCCTTCATAACGTTTCCCCTCATACACGATTTCTTTAATCGTTGTTTTCGCCTTCCTTGACGCTACCCTCTGCGTTAGAAAGCTTGTCGCAATCTCCCCATTCATCTCCTCTACGATCCCCGCCATTGTCTGCTTACGCCTCCTTTGACTGTCGCGGTATGCTTTAAGCTGAGCTTCGTACTTGATGAGCTCATCATATTTCTCCCCTCTGCTTGAGTCCGCCATAAACTCATGCCGCAGGGCCGCCACCCTGTCTTCCAGATGTGCTATAGTTCTCCCAATTCTCTTTCTTTCTTCCCGTGTGTGTGCTTTGAGGCTGGCCTGCAGTTCCACCAGTACTGAATGTATGTCTCTCCCCTTGTTGTCTTTCAGCGCCCTCTGTATGTGCCTCCGTACTCCCGGAAGTTTTGTCTGGCCCGCTTGCATCCTCCACAACCCCGGACCTTGCGCTTCTCCAGATTGCGCCGACAACACAGTGGTAATCCCAAACCAGTGGTTGTAACACCAGGAGGAGCCGCAGTGTGATAGGCGTCTGCGACAAGCGGAAGAAGAGAAGCCGATGCCAGCGCTCTATCAATACGTGAGCTTGTCATTGTTGCTTTCGCCAGAAAGGTGTATTCCAGCCGTGAGGGGTAAAGCGTCCGGAAAGTGTCTTTCAGATCCCATGCTGCGCACAGATGCAGCAATCTCTTTTCTTCCGCATCTGAACCATGCTGCGATGTTCTATCCATGATTGGATCTGCAGCAATGTTCAAATCTCCTGTAAGAAGCACATGCCCCGACTGAGTTAATGAGTTCACAAAAGGTGTTAAACTGTCTCTTAAGAAACTCCCTCTGGTTGTTGCTTGCGCAGGGAAATATGCTGCTACCAACGTCAAAGACAGCATCCTCCAGCTTACATCCACCGCGACCAACCTCCCTGATTCATGCCGCCAGACATCGCTGAAAACTGCTTCATTGTTAAAGCCCACCACTGCTACTCCGCCTGCTGTATCTCCAGGGGAGATAACCGCTACCGAAGTCGCACCAAGTTGAGTCCAGAAGTTGTGATCCGCCGGTAACCTTGTGTCAGTCAAGACCATCACACCCTTGGATTTCTTAAGCCAGCCTTGTAAATCCTCCCTCTTCTCCACGCTTCCCAGTCCGTTCACATTAAGCGCGGTGACCGTGAGTTCTTGGCGTTTATTCATTAAAACCCTGGAGAAGACCCCTTCGCATCCACGGGTCGTAAAACTCTTGTGCCGCTAGCAGTTCACTGGTTCCCGGTTCACAGCCTAACAGCATCCACCGTTCCAAAAAGCGCGTTGTAAAGATGAGACCACATATCACAGCAGTTGCTATCGAGGCACTGGTCACCGCTCCGCACACTACCACATCATGATATCTCTGAAACGCTTCATCCAAACTACGCTCCCATTTTGACAATGTCTCTCCTGTTCCTTGGCAGGTCACTTGAGGAACTCCTTCTTGAGAGCCGCAATGTTCATTGCGCCCTTGCTGTTGCGTGTGGCTGCGCCAGCTGAGTTCAGGTTGGTGGTGTGGCGAATCGAGGCAACATGCGCTGCTGCAAGCTCGAGATTGTTGTCGTGTGCCTTGCCGCAGGCATCGAGGACACAGATCCAATCATCCCGGGACCCGCCAGTCGAGGTAAGAACAATAGCCGGGTCCAGCAGGATCACTTTCAGTGAGTCTGTGACTTTCAGGGAGGCCGCTGCAGGAGGGAGAGGAGAGAGACAGGTCAGTATCATGGAAGCAAAGGAAGGTGAGACAGTCCGTGCAGATAGCAGAAGCAGGAGTACCGTTGACATCATGAATACGTTTAACCGTGAGGTTCCATTTAGCAATGTTAGCCTGACGGTCAGTGACGTAGTCGTCGTGATAGCGCGTCATATGATGTCCGTTGCAGTAGTCGCAGTTGAGCGAGGGAAAATGCAGTAGCAGCTTCTTCCCGTTCATTGCAGGATCCAGAATAAAATGACGCCAGCGGTACGGGTCGTTGTCATGCTGCACCAGGAGACCTTTAATCTTGTCGGTGTCCATTCCAGTAACTGGATCTTGCACCCGATGAAAACCATATGCCTCCTTGAAAGGCGGCCTCCCCCTCTTTACCAACCACACCATCACCATAAACTTCTTAATCCGCTCCGGGGTCAGCTCTGCCGGAACACCCTTCAGCATCACTTCGAAAGCCTTCGGATAGAGATTACGCGCACGGAGGTAATCAGCATTCTCAGGGAACTGCCAGCTCAGCTTCAAGAGGGTTCCGTCAGCGCAATCGTGAGCAACAGCACGCTTCCAGACAAAAGCAGCATCCTTCTCACGAGAAAAGGTAACTTGAATACGACCAAACCGCTCCTTGGACAGGTAAGTAGGAAGAAGCTTCTGAAATTTCGTCGTTGTTAGCACATCTGCCGAGAGATCTTTCTTCCAGTGAGTCAGATGAGCCATAACCGAGTCCATGGTCCGCGGAACTTCGTCAATATGCTTATCTTGGATCAAGAGCGTTAGCGGGTAACAAATTTGAGCAGCAACAAGACCAGCCATAACGGGATCTGCCTCTTCATCCGAGTCATCACTGAGGTAACCAGAGTCATCAGCACTCTCTTCATCATCATTCACGGATTCCACAGCAGGCTCAGCAGCTGGCGACAGAGGTTCTGGCAGCTCTGTCTCCGTTGATCGCTTGTGATCCTTAACCCAGTCATCTTCCGTTCCCTTTCCCTTCAATGCAGAAAGCCTGGCAGCAGCCATCGAAGACGATTCCGGACGATCCGTTTGAGTAGATGGCGTCAGCGGGTCACCAGCAGCATCCTTGTCAACATTCACACCGTCGACCTTCAAAGGCGAAACTGGAGCACTGAAGTTTCGTCCCTTAACACCAGACTTAGCACTTGCCTTCTGTCCCTTCCCCTTCGGCGGCATGATGACGAGTAGGAAAGAAAGCTGATGTTGAACAGGTTGTTTAATAATGAGAGGCGAGTCTCTGAGTGGCATTTTATATGATGTTGACGTTGTTTCCCTAGAAACCATGATACTGGCTCCTTTGTCGATCAGTAGTTGGCGCAAGACACGGGATAATCGTGGCGCATTTCCTTGGGAAACCCATTGATGTTCACTGAGTGCGCAACCTTGGGAGTTAACAGCCTTGGGATCCACTGAAGGTTGATAAGCTTGAAACATGTTCACTGTATGAACACAATTTGTTATGTCACTTATTAACCTTGTAACAAGGAATCCGAAAAACCTAGTTAAGGGCGCGTGTCTTTTGGTTTTTACATGCAAATCTCGAATTTTTTGTTGAACTGTAGTCATATGAACCTAGCTCGAGCTAGGCTCGAGTTTTCACCAACTGCAAACCGAGCCGCGGTTCCACCCCTCCCGAAAATCACGCGACAAACAAAAGTTCAACTATCGAAGTTGAACTTTTGCAGCCCAGCCGAGCCGCGACCTACGCTTGTAGGTTACCCGGTTTGGGCTCTTGACATCGCGCCACCGGGACTCGCGCTGACGAGCACCCTCGTGCGCACGATGCTAGCTGCGAGCGTCGCAGACTTCGCATCGTCGCTGTCAGTGATGAGGTGGACACACGCTCGCACATTCGTGCCAACCTGTTTGTTGATGAGGGTTCAACTTGGGGGCTCAACATTTTCCGATGCCGGAAGTGTACGTGGACACACGACGTCCTGGCGAATGTTTTGGCGAAATTAACGAATAGGGTAACCAGCAAAAGTTCAACCAAAAATCCGAACGTCTACACCAAAAGACACGCGCCCTAAAGCTCCATCAGGCAAGGTTTCAGTAGACATTGGGGCTTCCGAAGCGCTCGCGGTAGGTAGAATCCATGGCGGAGAGATACCTCTGTTTTTGTATTGCAGCGTATTATGGCGCCACTTCTACACCCACCTAGTATCGCATCATGGTCAAGCATTCCCACAACCCAATCTCGCCTTCGGGAATGCTTCGACCAAAGTCACCGCGCAGCACCTTACTATAAAGTTCTTCAACAAAGTGGTAACCTAATTACCGTGCACAACCTCTTTCGAGAGAAATTATTGTTTGATTTATATTCCATATGCCATGCCACTATCTCCATCCTACTAGTCCACCGCATAGTAGTCGCCCAATAGCTGAGTAGTATCCGCGAAGAGCGGCATCGTCCAATCATCTGAGTCCATAAATAAATCCGCCGTGGGGTCGTTCATGCTGCCTTCAACTCTCATTCTCGTCCCTCCTCAGTTAGGTTCTTCGCGCCAGCCGCTTTCTTACTACATAAATCGCCCTTTTCTTGGCGTTCAGCATGTCTCGCCATTCCACATCCACACGATCTAGAGCTTCGCTCCTTCTCGCTTTCCCCTCACGTATCGCTTCACTTTGCTTCGCGTCGCGCCATCTCGCTTCGTCGCCACCTCGGTATCACGCCGCGGTAAAGCGTCGGCGCTACTACGTACAATCTAGATCGGACCGCATCGCGCCACTATTGAGGTGTCTCTAAAAGAGTCGGCGCCACCACCACAGAGTGGACGGCATCACGCAGTCACAACGTTGCAGCGCAGCGGCGTCCCCTTCCCCTCGCCAGTCACACCGTCTCTCTCCGCCACCATGGCTCACTGCGGCCGCCCGCGTTCCGCCCTTCAAGCTGGCCTAAGCCCGCGTTCCGCCCTTCAAGCTGGCCTAAGCCCGCGTTCCACTCTTCAAGTCCGCCTCGCCGCGGTCGTCGCGGGCCTCGTGTCTCTCGCGGTCGTCGCAGAGAGCTCGTCGCCGTACGACACGTCCGTCAGGTTCCAGGGAAAAGCTGCGACTGATTCCAGTCGCTTTATCTTGTACGACAATCCGTGCAAGAATGTCGTGTGGCCGTACGCCACCGGGACCCCAATCGACGCGAGCATCCAGTGGGGCAATGTGTACGCGCAGCTGAACCTCAAGTGCATCAGCATCGCGTTCCACCCCATCGCGGACTGCAAGGGGGATCCCTACGTGACGTACCAGCGCCCTCTGCCCATCACGACCACATCCTTCACCAGCTGGTGAGCTACGTTGCACCCCGTGCACACATGTGCCATGTGCCATGTGCCATGTGCCGCACAACGGCGGAACCTTCATTTGGAGGCAGTTGCAGAGATAATCGGATCTCTTGCAGAGTCGATCGGATCTGTTGCCCTCGCCCTCCTCCACGTGTCTCACGTCTGATCGTTTCCTGTGCTCCCATGCCCCCCCTTGCTGCTGCTGGTCGCAGGACGCTCGCGACAGCCAAGGACTTGCCAGCGTCGATGAAATGCTGGACGGGTGAGATGACCCCGCTGGCAGGTAAGGACTTGCACCACTGGCGCCGCACTCACTTGCCTGTGACCCCGCACACTTGCCCATTAAAGCGACGGGCAAGGACTTGCCAGCGCCAATGAAATTCTGGACGGGTGAGATGATTGCACCACTGGCAGGCCCCGCGCTCACTTGCACGGGTGTGACACTGCACCGTGCTTCACAGCTGTGACATCCCAGAACTTGCCGCATGGTGGGGTGCGGTGTGTGTGGTGTGGTGTGGTGTGGTGTGGTGTGGTGTGGTGTGCGATGGTGTGGTGTGGTGTGGTGTGGTGAGGTGTGGTGTGTGATGGTGTGGTGTGTGGTGGTGTGGTGCGGTGCGGTGTGGTGTGTGGTGGTGTGAGACATCAATCCGTTGCTGTGCTGCAAAAGCCTAATGACTGCTCAATTGCACGCACACTTTCGCTTCCCTGGTTCAAATGGCTGACTGAATTGTTACTGTAAGGCCACGCTTGCTTGCTGTGAGCGAACCACGCTGTATCATCCTTCTCCCTTCTCCCACGTTGGTTGTCCCTCCCCCTTGCCATCACAAACGCGCCCCATGCTTGTCCCACAGGCTGCGAGCGCTGTGGGACAGCTACGTGCGCCTTGGTGGACGGCAAGAAGGAATGTGTGTGACCCGCCTCTCAAGTGTTCTCCCTCCTCCTCTCCATGTCCCGCCTCCCTACCACCACGTACGCCCCATGCTTTTCCTGCAGGCTGCGAGCGCTGTGGGACAGCCACGTGCAGCTTGGTGGGCGGCAAGAAGGAGTGTGTGTGCCCCGCG